GCCGCCAACGGCCGCCCCCGCCGGGCCCGCCCTCGCCTCGCGGCCCCGCTCCGAGGCGCAAGGCGCCCTCTCCTCCGCGCCTCCCTGAAGTCCCCAGTGCTCCAGAACTGCCGGAGTGCCCTTTGCAAACGCAGCTGTGTTCCCTGAAGCAAGCCCCGCGCTCGCGCTGTGCTCAGGGAAGCCACCGCCTCGCCCTGCTGCTCCTCGGTGGCTTTGGCCCTTGGGTGGGGAGGGAGGAAAGGGGAGGAAAAGGGGGCTCCTTCCCGTTATCCTGCCCACGACACCGCCGCACCCCTGTCTCGCGACACGGTTTCAGYGGCAGTCTCTGCGGAGTCGCTTTCCTGAAAGCGCCCGTCACTGCGGAGCAGAGCATGCCCGGGAACAACCGTAGTGCCAATAGCTTCATTTTTGGTGAAAAGGACAACTTCATTTCCCCTCCAGAGAGGAAAYGGCCTACCCAGGACTGGGCATCTCTGCTGTGATTCCTGTAAAAAACAGGTGCTGATTTCCCAGATAGAAAAGAGCTGTCTGTCCCAGCTGCCCATGTGGCCGCTGTTGCATGGAGTGCCACAGCCTGCCCTGACATATCGCTCTCRGAGGAGACATTCATCTCCCTTCACACATCTCCACCATCTGACCRTGTCCCTTCTGTGGTGCACGACCAGCCTTGAGGTCAGAGCAGCAGAACCACGCTTCCATGTCCATGTGTCTTACCTGTCCAACTGAAGGTGGCCCCGCTGGGTATTCTGCAGGAGAAGCAGCTTGGGAGCTCGCTGTGATTTAGAACATAGTCAAGATAAACTCTATCAGTTAATAAATAATGCCAGATAACCAACTCAAAATCCAAATCTGTCCGTAGGTTGGGATGCTCCTTCCTTGCTACCTGCCCATACAACTGCTGTGATGCAATTGATGTCAGCTAAACTAGGTTCTCTGCTCTCTAATCTTGCCTTTCAGCTGGGCTAGCAGTTACCTTCCATCRGCAAGTGACCTCCAAGTAGTCCACACACCCTCCACAGGATGGAGTCAAATGMATTTCTGAAAAGAGCGAAGCACCTGGAGGATCACTGCATCGGCCTTGAAGCAGCCACCCTCACAGGACTGGCTCCTATGTGTTGTTTTCTCTGCAGAAGGACTCAAATAAGTGTCCTTCTATCTGTGATGGGCAATTTTGGAAGAGATCCATGAGTAAGCTACTTGCTCTGCAGCCTGATTATGTGAGGTCATCTAGGGCTTTGCTTGAATCTATATGTCCTTGCATATGCCCTCCAGGCCTGAGTTCTCCACATTTTGCAGATCTTTCTGTATGCTGTTGTGAGGCTCCTACTTGCCTGATCAGATCACAGTGTCCTGCTCAGATAATTTCTGCTGATATGTCACTTTTTAAAATTCAGTCTCTAGATCACTCTCTCCCAGCATATCCCAGGGCTTTGCTTGTTGCACATCTCAAACCGTATTGATCAGTGTCCAAAAATCAGCTGTAAAATGTCACTGGGATTGCTAAAGCTAGTAGAATCATAGACGCATAGAATCATAGAATGCTTAAGGTTGGAAGGGACCTCAGAGGTCATCGAGTCCAACCCCCCTGCAAACGCAGGGTCACCTAGAGCACGTGGCACAGGGCTGTGTCCAAGCRGGTTTTAAAGATCTCCGGAGAAGGAGACTCCACAACCTCYCTGGGCAACCTGTGCCAGGGCTCTGTCACCCTCACTGTCGAGAAGTGTTTCCTTAAGTTCCTGGGGAACTTTTGGTGCCTCAGCTTGTGGCCATTTCCTCTAGTCCTATCCCTGCCCACCACTGAAAAGAGGCCGGCCCCCTCCTCCTCACTGCCTCCCTTGAGGTATTTATACACACTGATCAGGTCCCCCCTCAGCCTCCTCTTCTCCAGGCTGAACAGGCGCAGCTCTCTCAGCCTTTGCTCATAGGGCAGATGTTCCAGGCCCCTGATCATCCTCGTAGCCCTGCGCTGGACTCTCTCCAGCAGCTCCACAACCCTCTTGTACCGGGGAGCCCAGAACTGGACGCAGTACTCCAGATGTGGCCTCACCAGGGCTGAGTAGAGGGGGACGATCCCCTCCCTCAACCTGCTGGAGACGCTCTTCTTAATGCACCCCAGGATCCCGTTGACCTTCTTGGCCACCAGGGCACACTGCTGCCTCATGGTCAACTTGTCGTCCACCACGACACTGAGGTCCCTCTCTGCAGGGCTGCTCTCCAGCAGGTCCACCCCTAATCTGTACTGGTGTCCGGGGTTATTCCTCCCCAAGTGCAGGACCCTGCACTTGCCCCTGTTGAACCTCATGAGATTTCTCACCGCCCAGTCCTCCAGTCTGTCCAGGTCCCTCTGGATGGCAGTAGTCCTGATGGAAAACACCACAATCATTCAGGTGCAAACAACGCCAGCGACCTCATTCTGTTCCTTTGCCTGGCTGCTCAGGATGAAGACTGTCAGTGGGAGATGTAAGTACATACATGCAGTGTGSGGCCCTGCAGTAGCTGCTCTGAGACACTTGGTCTACCCAGCAGTGGTCTCTAACAGCGGTCATCCGTATAGGCAGGGCCTTGGGACTGAGCTCCATGCCAGTCACTAGTGCTCAGGGACATCTAGTTGTAGCCACTGAGCTACAGCTACCTAGTAGCTGGCCCCTCCTGCTGGGGACACAAAGAACAAAGAGCCCCCTCACCTAGGGAAAAATGTGGATAAAACCAATACTGGATATAGGTAGGCCAGTGAAGATCCATGGAATAACCTGCGCGGGAACATTGGCCAAGGCAGAACCTTTAATCCACGAGCCTCATCAACAGCTATATAGATTTTGCCAAGCGGTGTCCGTCCCCTTCTGACAGTTGCCCTTCTGCCTATGAGTAGCAGTTTGTCAGACTGAAATTACATTTAGAGGCCAAAACTTTAGCCTGCTTCCCACACGTACAAAGTAACCAGCCAAGTGTGAGATGGCAGAACTGTCTGTGGAGCTGAAGAATGAGCAAATGTTTACCCACAGGATTTGCAGCTCACTTGTAAACACTTTAAAAAGTATTTAAATACATTCTAATGCTCAGTCAGATGTGAATCAACCTGCAGACTCTGTGTTTTGCTGCTAGTAGTGTGAAAAGAAGTAACACCTGCTTGTTGGTCATTGAATGCAAATGTGCCCTCAAATCCTTTTCATCCAGATTTGTAGTTTACTTAGTAGTTTAGCTGAGTTAGGAGATCCAGGCACCACTGTAAMCTGCAGATGCAAAAGCCTATATGTTCTCTTTAAGTGCTTTTAGGCTTGGTCTAGAATTTTAAAGGCGTTTAGGTGTTTCAAGATCCTACTGTATATTAAACTACAATGGGTTACTTGTGTATATGTTTTAAAATCTCACTGAACACCTCTTGGAAGTTTAATGCATCTAGATGTCTTTCAAGATTTCTCCCTTGATGGCTCACCTGATTGGATCCATGAGATCCATTTTATAAACAAATTAACAAAGGAACACAGCATCAGTTCTGTGTGATGGGTTTTTATTTGTCGTATTTTGCTAAGCAGTCTTTTTCTCAGGTACCTATAATGCATATTGACTTCCAACCTTTTTCATTCAGTCATATTCTTGTTAGCCTTCCCATCCACTTCACRGGCTGATTTAATATTCAGATTGTGCGTTATTTTTTCTATCTGCAACTTAGGAAGAAAACTTCCTTAGGGTTCAGTTGATTTTCATTTCTTTCACAATTTTATCTCAATTTCTGCTGTTCAACGCGCCCCCCCACCACACAAAAATAATGAATRTATTTAGCCCTGGAAAGTCCGCAAGCCGTTGCAGTAGCTACAGACCGTCAGCCACGCTTTGCGAAGTCGTGTCCCTGGAAGCCTTCTGAACAGTTTACATGACTTACATTCTCAAAATATCTCTCCCTCCCAAGCATGGAAGCATAAGATTAAATAGCAAAAGATGTCCACACTTGTATTTTAGAAGGAAGGGGGCTGATCTTTATGATCCACAGGATGTGGAGAAAGGATTATTTGACTGCTAGGCCTAGTCTGGGTTGGTCTGAGATGTCTGGCTACGTGAGCCTAGAGCAGTTTGTTTCCATGGGACAGCTCTTGCGTGTTCCGATGGGAGCTCCGTGCAGTTCTTCCATTCTCCTGCAAGTCAGTGCCAGCAAGCATCGTGGCTGCCAGCCTCAGCAGTGATACCAGAGAGTAACAGGTAAGGAAATCCTCATACTGCTCC